AAAAAAAAAAAAAAAAAAAGAAAGAAAATGTTTGCCAAATACTGATTCAGAGGACAACTCCTTAACCACACCCCTCCCAAAATAAAACTGTAAGGATGTGAATTTCTGGTAATGTCCCTCAGCTTAGGTTGGTAGAGCAATTTTCAGGGTGCAGTAGGTGAGAGAACCCCACTACAGGGGCCTAGAAGAAGGCAGGCCTAAGAGCAGCTCTTTTTCTTTGTTCATTTTTGAGGCAGGATCTTGCTCTGTCACCTGGGCTATAGTGCAGTAGCAACATTATAGCTCCCTGTAACCTCAAACTCCTGGGTGCAAACCATCCTTCTGCCTCAGCCTAAGTAGCTAGAACAACAGGCCCATGCCACTACTCCTGGCTAATCCTTAAATTTTCTTTTCTTTTTTTTTTTTGAGACAGAGTTTTACTATGTCACCCTTGGTAGAGTGCTGTCACATCTCACATCAACCTCAAACTCCTGGGCTCAACCGATTCTCTTGCCTTAGCCTCCCAAGTAGTTGGGACCACAGGTGCCCACCACAATGCTTGGCCACTTTTTGTTGTCATTGTTGTTTAGCTGGCCCAAGCCAGCTTTGAACCTACCAGTCTCAGTGTGTATGGCTTGGTGCCATAACCACTGTGCTACAGGCACTGAGCCAATTTAAAAATTTTTTTTGTAGAGACAGTGTTTTGTTCTTGCTCAGGCTGTTCTTGATGAACTCCTGGCCTTAAGCGATCCTCCTGCTTAAGCTTCTCAGGGTGCTGGGATTACAGGCTTAAGCCACTATGCCCAGCCCTAAGAACTAGTCTTAAGCTGGGTCTAGTCTCTCTCAGCTTATTCTTTGTATGTGTGTGTGTGTGTGTGTGTGTGTGTGTGTGAGACAGAGTCTCAAGCTGTCACCCTTGGTGGAGTGCCCTGTTGTCACTGCTCACAGCAACATCAAACTCTTGGGTTTAAGTGATTATCTTGCCTCAGCCTCCCAAGTAGTTGGGACCACAGGCACCTGCCACAACATCCAGCTATTTTTTGTTGCAGTTGTCATTGCAGTAGTCATTTTTGTTGCAGTGGCCCAGGCTGAGTTCGAACCTGTCACCCTTAGTGTATGTGGCTGGCGCCATAACCACTATGCTACAAACGCCGAGCCGTGCTCAGCTTATTCTAATTTAAGTTTAGGGCATGGTACCTGTTCCTAAGCCTTTCTGCTTAGGGGCAGATGGTGACTGGTAATTGCAAGCTAGCTCTTGCTCCATTTCTCTATGTGTTTATGGTGGCAGGACTATGTGGTCCTTTTTTACAAATCACTGAGCCTGCCACAGGAGAGCAAAATGGCTATATCAGAACTGGGGCAATTCAACCCCCAAGGAATATCTAGAGCAGTGTTTCTCAACTTCCCTAATGCTGCGACCCTTTAATATAGTTCCTCATGTTGTGGTGACCCCCAACCATAAAATTATTTTAGTTGCTACTTCATAACTGTAATTTTGCTACTGTTATAAATCATAATGTAAATATCTGATATGCAGGAGACCCGCAAAGGGGTCATGAGCCACAGATTGAGAACTGCTGATCTAGAAACATCTTTTATTTGTCACAAATGGGGCAGGGAATGGCAGGTGAGTTTTATTAGCATCTGGTAGGTAGAAGCCAGGAATGCTGCTCAACATCCTATTATGGACAGGGCAGCTCCCCACAATAGGCATATGTCTGGCCCCAGGTGGCAATGGGTGCCATGTTCGAGAAACTTTGCTTTAGAGAGCAATTTATATATCTAGCAAAATGTCTGATAATATAAGGCTGTGTTCTGGAGGTACCGAAGAACTTCAAGTTAAGAGGGACTCAGAGGCTTATACTTTTCTAGAAGTTCTCTGGAAACTTTAGTAATCCTTTCCAAATATTTGCTGTGAGGCAAAACCTTTGATAGGTGCTATAGGGATTCCAGGCAAGCAGATCACAGTCTTGCTTCCAGAACCCTTAAAGAAAATGAGACAGATATAATACCATACCAGGCAAAAACTGGCAGCTGCCAGCAGAGGTTCTTAGAGGTCTAAAGTAGAGGGAAAGATGGCTCTGCTTGGACGCTAGAGGCAGAGTGAATTGGAAACATTTTGCTGTGGGAGCAGCATTTGAAACAACCCTTCAAGACTGATAGATTTTTTAGCTGGCAATTGTGAGGAAAAGAACCCCAGGGTACCAGGGCACATAGATGATACATGCAGGGTTTGACTTGGTATGGGCGAATGGTGGGTGCTGTGGTGAGGTGAGGTCGTGGGTCAGGCCAATGTTGTGTAGGACCTCAGTGCCCTGAGAGTTGGTTTTTCAGTGTGGTAGCTCATGGGGAGACTTGAAAGATTTCAGAGTACCAGAGTGGTGGGATTGGAAACTCTTCTTTACAAATGGAGGTAGCTTGCAAATAGGATCTTCAGGGGAGAGGCTGCAGTTGTGGGCTTGTGAGGAGACTGTTAGAGGCCTCCCTGGCCAGACGAAGTGCAGGCATAGCTGAGAGGTACGTGTGAATCTGCAGAGGGTTGGCCACAGATCTAGGCCTCTCTTTAGATATGAAGCTGGAGGGTTATCCAGTGCCTCTCTAAGGCTCAAACCTGGGCACTCGGAAGACTGTGGCACTGACAGATACAGGAAAAGAGGGTTGAGTCGGGAAAGGGTGAGTCACAGTAGATGGAGGATGCCCGTTGTCATGTTCAGTCATTTGTCTGGAAATGTGTTCTCTCTCTCCCCCTCCGTCCCAGTCTCAGAAGGAATGATTCTGACTTCTCTGCTCTTTCTGTGGAGATTTTTCTTTAGCATAAATCTTGCTGTTTGAGTCAGATGCTGAAGTGATTTATTTAGTCCCAGGGATTTACTATGAGTGGTGGCCTCTTGTCTGCCTTGGTCTGGAGCGGGGCATTCCCAGTGGCTCTGATAGAAGGCAGCACACACCTAGCTGGGTATAGTCTAAACTCCACTAGCTCTCCCATAAGCGACCAGTGTGGACTGAGAAGGACGTACCATGTATACAGTATGTCGCTTTAAAGGTTTTTTTTTTTTTTGGTATTATTTGTTATTTATTTATTTAGTTATTGTAAATGCTTGTTGAATAGATAAACCAGTACAGCTTATTTACTGTGGTTCCCTGTTGGTTATTCTTGGATCAAAGTATTAATTTTTTTTTTTTTTGAGACAAAGCCTCAAGCTGTCCCCCTGGGCAGAGTGCCGTGACTTTTACAGCTCACAGCAACCTCCAACTCCTGGGCTCAAGCGAGTCTCCTGCCTCCGCCCCCCAAGCAGCTGGGACCACAGGCGCCCGCCACAACGCCCGGCCATTTTTTGGTTGCAGCCGTCATTGTTGTCCGGCGGGTCCGGGCTGGGGACTCGAACCCGCCACCCTAGGTGTACGTGGCTGGCGCCCTAGCCGGTTGAGCCATAGGCGCCGAGCCCAAAGTATTAATTTTTAAATCTCCTACAGATGTCTATGGAACAAACAGTCCCTCCGTCATTGGATGGCACCAGTTTGGGGGTAAGCACAGGCCAATCCGTGGACAGAGGCAACAGTCAGGCCTTTGGGAACTCCCAGAACATAGGAGAACAGGGATTCACCTCTGCAAACTCCAGTGACAACAGGTGAGACTCAGAATGGCTGGACTCATGCTCTTGGGGAGTGGGACAGTCTAACCTCAAAGGCCACAGAGGCTGGGAGTCCAAAGCTCTGCGCCAGGTTCTGACTCTGCTACCAGTTATGTGGGATTCTGGGCAAGTCAGTCCTTATCCACACCTGTAGATGGGGCGAATGACCTGTGTGTTGCCTCCTTGCAGAATAGCTAAGAGGTAGTACAGAGATGTAGGAAAGTATCCAGGTACCATGCAGGAGTATAGGGCTTCAGTGAAAGGCCAGACCATCTATCCTATTCATGGTGGCATGATGCCTTGTATGTGACAGCATGTAGTCAGTAAGGAGATGACAGACAGTGAATGAATCACTAATTGTGGCCAAACATGGCTGTTCTTTTCCTACCCCTCAGTATCCAGAAGAGAAAGAAGCTGCCTGTACCTTATTTGCTTGAGCAAGTGCACCAGCTTTTCACGCCGTTGTCAGTTCTGAAAAACTTCTCTTTTATTTCCTCCCCAGCCATGTGTGCTTAAGAATAATTCTGCCCAGTCTGTTCTTGTTGCTTCACTATACTGACTGAGCAGTCCTTGGCTAAGTCTAAGATCTCAGAAGTTCGACTCTTGTACCCCTTTCCCTTGGAGCAGAAGGTTCTTTGGGGTGGCTCAGCTGGCTGGCCTCTTTCAGGATTCACTGTCTCCTGTATGTGATAAATTCTGTGCTGGTTTTACCTCATCTGCTGCAGCTCATTCATCCCAGCCAGGAGAGGTGATGATCAGCTCAGAAGCAGGAGTAGGCCTGGATTTCTCTGTTCTCTGTCTTTTCTCAGGCCCATACCCCCATCAAGCCCAGCTGGTTTTTTGACTCTGGCCATGGAAGAGGTTGGAGAGGCTGCCCAGTGCATAGCAAAAGGAGGGCATTTATCTGCTTCCTCCTTGTATACAAGGGCAGAACAGCAGGTTTTTTTCTGCTTTTGGAAGAAAAGAAAAACCAAGGACGTCTAGGCTGGAAGTGAAAAGATCAAAAACAGGGCAGGTGAATGAAGGGCCAATGACTATAAAACTACAGAGACCAGATTCCATTTCATAATAAAGAACTTACCCACTCTAGGTACAGCCGCATGAAAATGGGCTGTGTTTAGAGGAACTGAGTTCTCTGCCATGGAAGATGTTCACACAGGTAGCTCCCTGGACTGCTCTAGTTTTGCCTCTTGTTCAGACTCTTGGTCTCAGTGGAGATTCCAACATTAGTAGGAAAATCAAACATCTTTAAAAGCTTTTTCCAACCCTAAAATTCTGAAATGCTACAATGAGTCCTAGACCCTCCAAACAGAAAGAGAAATCCAGGACTGAGAAAAGAGAGAGGTTTAAAGAACACGAGGACCTTCCAGATAAAACCCAGAACTGGCCCAATTTGGTATGATTGGCTGCCCAGCTGCTGAGGATTAAGCTCGTTTTAAGGGACTGTCATACCATTGAGGAAGAACTTGGGCAGCAGGTGATGGACAGGTCTGGGCTTTGGAGTGAGGCAGACCTGGATTCAAATTCAGATCCTGACATATCCTGGCTCTTTGTCTTTGACCTTCATCAGTCCCTCCCTCCCTTCCTTCTTTCCTTTGCAGATTCTCACTCTGTCACCCTGGATAGAGTACCAGGGCATCATCATAGCTCACAGCAACCTCAAACTCTTGGGTTCAAGCCATCCTCCTGCCTCAGCCTTTCCAGTAGTTGGGACTACAGGTGCCCTCCATGATGCCCAGCTCATTTTTCTATTTTTAGTAGAAATGGGGTTTCCCTCTCGATCAGGCTGGTCTGGAACTCCTGAGCTCAGGTGATCTACCCACTTGGACCTCCCAGAATGCTAGGATTACAGGTGTGAGCCACCACACCTGGCTTTTTACCAGTTTCTTTAACCAATCGTGAGCTTCGGAGGATTGATAATAACTCATTATGTTTAGTATTATTTACCATTTGTGCTCAGGGGGACAGCTTCATGACAACCCTGAAGGAGAGGAATAGCATCATGCCTATTTTTCAGATGAGAAAACAGGTCAAGAAAAGCTAGAGTCCACAGCTTGGTAGTGACAAGACTGGGATTCTGTCCCCTCTCTGGTCAAGAAAAAGGTTCTTGAGAAAGTTCCTTGGTGCAAAACCAGAGCAGTCCAGGGAGATTTCTTGGAAGTAGGCCATTTAAAAGAGAGATGCTTACTAAGAGTAAGTTCAAACACAAGACCACTTTGTATTATTTTTATTTTTTTAATAAACTTTGGAACTCCCCTGTGGGATACCCCCAGATGTAGCTGTCCAGAATTTGCTTGAATGCCGTCAGTGTCAGTATTGTCCTGGTTTCCGACTCTGTAAAAAGTAGTGCTCCTGATATTCGTGCTGCTGACTGTGTGTGTGTGTGTGTGTGTGTGTGTCTCCTCTTGCTTTGCTGACCAGACGCTCTGTGTCACAGCTCTCAGCAGCCGGCAACAAGCTCCTTGACATCATCCTCCACCCTGACAGAGATCCTGGAAGCCATGAAGCACCCCTCGTAAGTGTCTGGTCACACATGTGAGTGTGTTGTGGCAGGGCTCAGGCATTGTGGTTTGGTAGACTCATACATGACTCTGCTGGCTCACTAGCTTTGAGACCTTGGGGAAGTGACTTGCCCTCTCTGATACTCTGTTCTCTTGCTTATAAAATGAGATTTTTTTAAAAATGGTCTAGGCATAGGGTTGATATAAGGATTAAATGAAATACTTATATGAAGGACCTAGTGTAGTGCCTAGCAAGTACTGGTATTCCCTAAATGTCAGTTCCCTTCTCCGCCTCCTCTTCACTCTATAACATCTTCTTCTGACCTGTCATAGTTCTTTCTCTGGGTCCAGGAATAACATAGAGAAATTGCTTTATGGGGTCCTTACTTCAGATATTAAATATGTTGTTAGTGAGAGTCTCTTCTTTTTCATCTTTTCTTTCTTCTTGTTGCCACCGGGCATACACCCACCCTGCTCCCTGCTTACTGTGTTGGAACCCAGGACAGGCGTCCAGCTGCTATCTGAACAAAAGGGCCTCTCCCCATACTGCTTTATCAGTGCCGAGGTGGTGCACTGGCTGGTGAACCATGTGGACGGGGTCCAGACGCAGGCGATGGCCATCGACATCATGCAGGTGAGACAGCAGGGTAGGGCCCCGTGAGAGCAGACACTGTCACTCTTTCCAGAAGTGAGATCTGCATGTGAGGTGAGGATCTGTTTTTATAACTGCAGGGCCTCTATGGAACTGATAAGAGAAAAAGGTCTTGCTTCAAAATACATTATATGGGCTCAGTGCCTGTGGCTCAGCAGCTAGGACGCCAGCCACATACACCGGAGCTGTCAGGTTGAAACCCAGCCTGGGCCTACCAAACAACAATGACAACTACAACCAAAAAATAGCTAGGCATTGTGGCGGGCACCTGTAGTCCCAGCTACTTGGGAGGCTGAGGCAAAAGAATCACTTAAGCCCAAGAGTTTAAGGTTACTGTGAGCTGTGATGCTACGGTACTCTACTGAGGGCAATATAGTGAGACTCTGTCTCAGAAAAAAAAAATACACTATATGTTGACTTAAAAATTTGGCAGAAATTATTGTCTGAACTGAAAATGTTCTATATAGAATCTGTGCACTTGTAAACCTTGGAGAAATCTCTATGAGAGAATTTCAGAGAACGCTCTCCCTCTGACCTCAAGCCCCCAATTTTCCCTGGTGAGTGTCTTCTTTATTCAAGACTTGAAGCTGGATTCAAGGCTCTATCCCAGGGGCCTTCTGGCACCCTGTACTTACTCTGTCAGAGCTCTTGGCACAACAGAATGAAGAATATGTCTGTGTACCTCATTTGACTCCTGTCTGGACCAGCTGCCTGAGGGAGGGAGTACCTCTTGTCCATTCCAGTGTCTAACATGTTGCTTGGTACATGGTAGGAGTCTAGCACCATACTTGCCCGATGTAATTACACTGTTCAGAACTGGAGGCTTGGTGCTCATAGCTCAGTGGTTAGGGCACGGGCCATATACACTGAGGCAGGCAGGTTTGAACCCGGCCTGGGCCTGCTAAACAACAATGACAACTGTAACAAAAAAAAATAGCCAGGTGTTGTAGCAGGTGCCTGTAGTCCCAGCTACTTGGGAGGCTGAGGCAAGAGAATTGCTTAAGCCCAAGAGTTTGAGGCTGCTGTGAGCTGTGACACCATGGTACTCTACTGAGGGCAATATAGTGAGACTGTCTCAAAAAAAGGGGGATGGGGCAGCACCTATGGCTCAGTGAATAGGGCACCAGACCCATATATTGAGGGTAGTGGGTTTGAACCCGGCCCCGGCCAAACTGCAACAAAAATAGCCAGGTGTTGTGGCAGCACCTGTAGTCCCAGCTACTTCGGAGGCTGAGGCAAGAGAATCACCTAAGCCCAAGAGCTAGAGGTTGCTATGAGCTGCGACGTCACAGCACTCTACCGAGGGTGACAAAGTGAGACTCTGTCTCTTAAAAAAACAAACAAACTGGAATCATAAGGTGAGGAATGGGAAAGATTGAGTTGCCTGAGCCAGTTCTTGCCATCCTGTCCATACAAATGCCCCCAATGGAAATAAATCAGTACTGTTTGCTGACCAGCTGGGTTGTCATCACAAAAATGTAAAATCAGTAACTGATTGGAATAAGCCTGTGATCCTCAGTTCTCTCTTTGAGGATCTTTTTTTTTTGAGACCAAGCCTCAAGCTGTCCCCCTGGGTAGAGTACCATGGCATCACAGCTCACAGCAACCTCCAACTCCTGGGCTCAAGCGAGTCTCCTGCCTCCGCCTCCCAAGTAGCTGGGACCACAGGCACCCGCCACAACGCCCGGCTATTTTTTTGGTTGCAGCTATCATTGTTGTTTTGGTGGGCCCGGGCTGGATTCGAACCCGCCACCTTAGGTGCATGTGGCTAGCACCTTAGCCACTTGAGCCACAGGCGCCGAGCCTCTTTGAGGGTCTTGATGTGCGTTTTGATTAGTCTTTGCCTGATAACTTTTTATACTCTCACCTCCCTAAGAATACTACTTTCCTTATTCAAATTGTGAAGTGTGGGGCAGGCACAGTGGCTCATGCCTGTAATTCTAGCACTCTAGCAGGCTGAGGCAGGAGGATTGCTTGAGCTCAGGAGTTCAAGACCAGTCTGAACAAAAGCGAGATCCCCCAATCTGGTCTTACGTCAGTATAGTAAGATGTTAAGTTTATTAAAACGGAATAGTAGTATACCTGGATTTTCCTTATGCTTTTCTGCATGTTTGAAATATTTGATAATGATATAATATGAAACTACATTTTATAATGTGAATCACACCAGGCACGTATCTAAAAGGGGATGTGGAAGGGCTCCTCAGTGCTCATTGACTCCAGTGCATAATAGAAGGCTGTCCCCCTCAAGATGTCCCTCTGGGGTGGCACCTGTGGCTCAAAGGAGTAGGGCACTGGTCCCATATACTGGAGGTGGTGGGTTCAAACCTGGCCCCAGCCAAAAACTGAAAAAAAAAAAAAAAAAAAGATGTCCCTCTGGGCCTGATGCTCGTGGCTCAAAGCTGTAATCCTAGCACCCTGAGAAGCTGAGGCAGGTGGATAGCATGAGCTCAGGAGTTCGCGACCAGCCTGAGCAACAGTGAGACTCTATGTCTACTAAAAATAGAAATACTAGCTGAATGCTGGGTTACATACCAGTTACTGGGGAGCCTGAGGCAGGAAGATCTATTGAGCCCAAGAGTTTGAAGTTACTGTGAGCTATGATGCAACAGCACTCTAGCCTGGCTAACCGTATGAGGCTCTGTCTAAAAAAAAAAAACAAAAATAAGCCTCGGCGCCTGTGGCTCAAGTGGGTAAGGTGCCAGCCACATACACCTAAGGTGGCGGGTTTGAATCCAGCCTGGGCCTGCCAAACAACAATGACAGCTGCAACCAAAAAATAGCTGGGCGTTGTAGCAGGCACCTGTGGTCCCAGCTACTTGGGAGGCAGAGGCAGGAGACTCGCTTGAGCCCAGGAGTTGGAGGTTGTTGTGAGCTATGATGCCACGGCACTCTACCCAGGGGGACAGCTTGAGGCTCTGTCTCAAAAAAATAAAAATAAAAAAATAAAAGATGTCCCTCTGCAGGAATCTCAGCATTTTACTGTCTCTCCTAGAAAATGCTGGAAGAGCAGTTCATCATGCATGCATCTGGGGAAGCCTGGCGGACCTTCATCTATGGCTTCTATTTCTACAAGATCGTAGTGGACAAAGAGCCAGACCGAGGTCAGAGCTGAGGCGCGTGCAGTTGCCCACAGGGATGGGTGTTTTTCTTGGTGACTTGCCCTTTCCCATCATAGTGCTTCTTGAGCTCCGTGCGTGACTTCATATTCTAAGTTGTCAGGGCTGTCAACTTCCTTGAGCATTTGTACTTAATTTAAGCATAGCCAGAGTAATAAACATTTCTCAAGCTACAGTATGTTCTTCATGAGGACAGTGTGGGTGGGAGACAAATCCAAAAGAGGCCAAGGGACCTGATGTGAGGAAATTCCCATGGGTCATTTCTTGGGAGCTGTTTTTAATTACAGCTCCCCAGCCCTCACTCCCACCCCCACTCTGTGCAAGTGGCTCTGATTATAACATGAGAGGTTCCAGTCTGTGATTAATAGTACTTTTCACTTGCTGGGGCTCCAGTCTCCATTCCTTTCCCCAGGAAGACTACCAAGTCCTTGCAAGTTTTCCCAGATATATTTTAGGTATTTGTTATTTTTTAAAGAAAGAGAGAGAGAGAAAGTAATTCCCAGAGGGGAACAATTTCTAGCATGACCAGAACTGACTTGCGTAACTCAGAAGGCACCCAGGCTTTAGACCAATATCTCTAGTACACGGAACACCCAGAACATGTGGGAATCTTGGCTGGAACTGACACACATCCGGCACACACATGACTTCTCTCCCTCTGCGTTTAAAGATGAAGCAGCTAGTGCCACTCATTGTGCTCTCCTGTCCAAGGACATGTTGAAATTGGACCTGTGTGGGGTGTTTTTTTCCTTATAGCCATTAGTATGTCCATTGGCACTTTTTCCCTTAAATTCTAAGTTTGACTAGTAGATACCTATTTTACCTTAACAGTCAAAAAGTACTGGGCAGTGTCTGTGGCTCAGTGAGTAGGGCACTGGCCCCATATACAGAGGGTAGTGGGGTCAAACCTGGCCCTGGCCAAACTGCAACAACAACAACAACAAAAATAGCTAGGCATTGTGGCAGGTGCCTGTGGTCCCAGCTACTCGGAAGGCTGAGGCAAAAGAATCACCTAAGCCCAGGAGGTGGAGGTTGCTGTGAACTATGATACCCCGGCATTCTATCAAGGGCAATAAAGTGAGATTCTGTCTCTAAAAAAAAAATGTACCTGGTTGCTGACATATACTCTCAAAGTTAGGAAACCGAGGATAAAATATTTTTTTAATTGGAGTAAAATTCATATAACATAAAATTAACCATTTAAAAATGGGCATCTCAGAGGCAGTTAGTATATTCATCATCCACCATCCCCTCTATCTAGTTCCAGACAATTTCCATCACCTCATAAGGAAACTTTATACCCATTAGCAGTTATCTCCCAGCTCCTTCTCCTCCTACCCCATATCTACTAATCTGCTTTCTGTCTCAAAGATTTACCTATTCAGGAATTTTCATACAAATGGAATTATACACTATGTGACCTTTTGCATCTGGCTCCTTATACTTAACGTGTGTTTTCAAGGCTCATGCTTCAGTTAGAAAATAAGCATCTATGCTGAGGACCCCTTCCCTCCCCTCTGCCTTTCCCAGTGGCCATGCAGCAGCCTGCCGCCACCTGGCACACAGCAGGGGGAGACGACTTCGCCAGCTTCCAGCGTAAGTGGTTTGAGGTGGCCTTTGTGGCAGAAGAACTCCTGCACTCCGAGATTCCTGCCTTCCTCCTGCCCTGGCTGCCGAGCCGGCCAGCCTCATATGCAAGCAGGCACAGCTCCTTCAGCCGCAGTTTTGGAGGACGGAGCCAGGCAGCCGCGCTCTTAGGTGGGTGCCTGACCCAGACAAGGTCTGGGGATTTGCTGAGGGGTGTCTGGGGGAGGATGGCAGCCAGCCAAGGGAAGTGATGCCACATGAACTGGCTTAGAGCTGGTGTGGCTGTCACAGTGGCCACTGTGGCTGTTAGAACTGTGAGCTCCTGTGCTGACTTCTGCTGGCTGAAGTTATTATACTAACCAATAGTATTTGGCACCTCTCAAATCAGAGCAAGATGCAAAAACTGCTTGGATAGGAAAGAAAAATGTGGCTACTTTTCCCAAGAGGGCCTCAGAATACAGGGCCATGAGCCTGTGCCTATTGCAGGGATCTAGTTCTACCAGAGGCCTTTCCTACAATTATAGCATCTTAGAACCTCAGAAGAGGAAGGAACTTAAAAGGGTCATCCATTCTAGACATTCATTCTGAGCAGGAATCTCTTCCCATCTCTGTTCCTTTTTTGAATGTGCTTGCCACAGTTCTAAGCTGTATGATAGGGCTAAATACCTGCGTGTTGAAAGGTGGGGTGACCTCTGATGGGACATGGAATGGAGACCTCTGCCCATGAGGACCCTGGAGGACTGATGGGTTGAAATATGAGTGTCTTTAAGAAGTACATGCCTTGGTGGAGGCACTATAGGATTAATCTCAAGGGCAGATTGAAGAGATCCTGAAAACCCTCTGGCAGGAAGGAAGCAGGCATAACATAGACCAAACTCCATGGAGATTCCAGGTTCTGCCTCGCTTGCCTATAAACACCCAGCTAATTGGAATTCTTACCTAGCTGGTAGATGAAAATGTCAGTAGTCATTGCAGTGTCCAGAGCCTCTGATTCACTTGCACCTGGATGTGGCTGTGACCCCCCCCCTTACACCTTCACCCCGGTGTCACCCAGTATGGTGTGTGAGAAGGGAAGGGGTGGAGGGGACAGGGTGGAACCATAAAAAGAGTAGCTCTTCCTCTCCTCACCCAAGCAGTTGTGACTTATCCTTCTCTCTTTTGTTGCATTTCTAACTCTCCACCTTCTTGAAGTCTGTCGGGATCAGAGAAACCACATGCTCCCTATTATCTTGGCTGCTCACTCCGAGAGCACCACCAGGTCTTGAGACCAAAAGCTTCTGAGCACTTGGAATAGTGAGCACTAAGCTCATGCATTTTATGCAATGAAGGTCCTACTAGTAACAGCAAATAGGCTAGACACCTGTAGCATAGTGGTTATGGCACTAGCCATATACACAGAAGTTGGCGGGTTTGAACCCGGCCCAGGCCAGCTAAAACAACAATGACAACTGCAACAAAAATAGCCAGGTGTTGTGGTGGGCGCCTATAGTCCCAGCTACTTGGGAGACTGAGACAAGAGAATCACTTGAGCCCCAGAGTTGGAGGTTGCTGTGAGCTGTGACACTACGGCACTCTACTGAGGGTGACATAGTGAGACTCTGTCTCAAAAAAAAAATAGAAACAGCAAATAAAAGGACGGGGACTTTGATGCCAGTGGGAAGCAAAAACCAATACTCTGACAATGAAGGTGGAGCCAGGAAAACCTATGACAAATACACCAAGCACAAGAATTCGATAAGAAGAGCACTAGTCATTCATTTATAGCACTGAATTGCATATGGGAAGCTTCTGAAGAAACTGAGCTTTATGCCATTTCCCCCATTAAATCAAGCTTATTTTTAGAAGCCACATTTTAAAGCCTCCTTTTTTTTAATAGATAAAAATTTTCATCTTCTCTGAGGAGCAAGAAGCTAAGCCTGAAAGCTACGTGCTTCTGGATACATACAGGGTTGACAAGTCAGCCTTCCACTCTGAGGTCACTTTGTGAGACAAAGACACAAGGAGTTACTTTAAATATGCACAGGACTATGTATGGTGACACTACTTACCTGAGAGCTGAAGGAAGCAAAAAGGTTTCTGACAAACTCAAATAAATGCCACAAATCCAGGGGTCACCTTCATGTAGTGAAAAGCCCTTGGACCAGGACAAGGAGCCTACTTACCCAGTTCTATGAGTTTGGTCATAGGTCCTTCCGTAATACTCCAGATTAGAGGCACAGAATTAGGGGCACCTATTGGCAGCAAGTATGCTAACACATTTTAGCAAAGTTTTGGTCCTTTTAAGGTGGGAGGTAGCTGTAATTCTTCCTTTTCTTGCAAGTCTTCAGTGAAAGGAATTATTTTGATAGGAATCTTCTGCAGAGTGTACAAAATCTTACAGCAGCCAGGTGTGGTGGCTCATGCCTGTAATCCTAGCACTTTGGGAGGCCAAGGTGGGTGGATTGCGTGAGCTCAAGGTTCGATACCAGCCTGAGCCAGAGCAAGAACCCATCGCTAAAAAAATACATAGGTGTTGTGGCAGGTGCCTGTAGTCCCAGCTACTTGGGAGGCTGAGGCAAGGGAATTGCTTGAGCCCAAGTGTTTGAGGTTGCTGTGAGCTATGATGCCCGGCAACTCTACCAAAGGTGACAAAATAAGACTCTGCCTTCAAAAACAATAAAAAGGCTCAATACCTATAGCTCAGTGATTAGGGTGCTGGCCATATACACCGGGGCTGGCGGGTTCAAACCAAGCCTGGGCCTGCTAAACAATAATGACAATAGCAACAACAAAATAGCCAGGTGTTGTGGCGGGCACCTTTAGTCCCAGCTACTTGGAAGGCTGAGGCAAGAGAATCACTTGAGCCCAAGAGTTTGAGGTTGCTGTGAGCTGTGGCACCACAGAATTCAACATAGTGAGACTCTGTCTCTCTCTCTCTCAAAAAACAAAAAAAACCTCCAACAACAACAAAACCTACAGCAGACTTTCTCAGCCCTAGCAGTACAAAGATTTTGAGCCAGATCATTCTTTGCTGAGGCGGGGGGCGGGGGGAGGGCTGATCTGTGTATTGTGGCACATTGAGCACCATTCCTGGCGCCTCTATCCACTGGATGCTAGTAGCACACCCCAAGGTGACATGCCTCCTAACACTGCCACATGTCCTCTGGGTGTTGTAAAATTGCCCCCAGCTGAGAACCACAGTCTTATAAGGAAGAATTCCAATAAGGTGCCAAAAGTAGAGTTTAGCAAAACCTGAGAGCCTTTGAAACTCATCAGTAACTTCCCTAAGCAGGTATGAGGTTAGTGGTGCTATGGGTATGTTTTTAGAACTTAGGGGTTGGTGCCTGCGGTCCCAGCTACTCTGGAGGCTGAGGGCAAGAGGATCACTTGAGCCCAAGAGTTTGAGGTTACTGTGAGCTATGATGCCACGGTAGTTTACCAAGAACAACAAAATTAAGACTCTGTCTCAGGAAGGAAAAAAAGAAAAGAATATATTTACTGTGCTTTGAACTTCTTTTGAAAATAATTAGTGATCTTTAAAAATTTTCACAACACACCTAAGATCCTCTCTTGGCACGCCAATGTGCTGATGGCACATAGGTTGAAAAAAATCACTGCTTTAGGGAGGTGGCAAATCTGAAACTAGGCAGAATTTGGGGGGTGTGCTTGTTTTCTAGGAAGACATCTCTTTATTAATGTTTTAATGGTTTCTGTGCTTGTTACAGAAGAATTTAATTCTATCAGCCTTCTTGCCCATTACCCTTCCCAAAAGAAACAAGTTTCTTTTCCTTTTAAACTCGATGTGGCCTTATACAGCTAATTCTATCTGATAACAGCTCTCAAACCTTTGTGTTAGGGTATGAGATATTTCTCCCCATCTTTTTTTCAGGTTAGAATATATTTTGTTATTTACTTAAGTGAGAAAACTCTATTGTCTTTAAATTAGGCTATCTTCAGTGTTTGAGTTTTTCTCATGGGGAAAAACATTAGCATGATTTGTAAGAAAGAGGAAGGCCTGTGTATCATTTGTTACCTCCCCTTTTGGTTTGTTTGTTTTGACATGTTCCTTTTTAAACACTCTGATTCTCAGTTGGAGGTTGGCAGTGGAAATCTGTTTTGAAGTGCCTGGCATTGGCATATGGCCGTGTCTGGCTGCACCCCAGGGTGGCTTCCACTTCCCCATCCCTGTCATCCTGCACTGCTAAGCCAGGAAGCAGCAAGAGCATCTGAGACGCGGGAAGAAGCAGCCGCACTTCCCTCAATACCACTCACACTATTTGCCTTCTCAGCCTTTTCTAGATGCCCCACTGGGTTTTGCATTTGGAAGGGACTGTAGAGCATCTCTGTCCAAACCCTAATACTTGAGTGTTTTCCTCAGACTCCAAGAAAGTGGGATGCCAGCTGCTCTTTGAAAACCCCCACTGGCACAGCGTTTGCTTCTGAGACTTCTCTTTCCATTCTTGGGTAGCTCTGGTTGTCATGTAGAGTGTCACTCCCCTTCTGAGGATTGCGTTCTTTCTCCTCCACTGATGCTGATTCCCTACCTGGGTCTTAATACCCCCGCTATGACCTGGGTATGTGATGCTCAGCCTTCTCCTTTGGGCTTGCTCTATCTCTCTGTCCCCAAGGTGAGTAAGTTGGTTCTCATGGAACTCAAGTGATAATTCACTGAACTCACTGAAAGATGCAACTCAGCTGGGCTCACACCTCTGTCAACATTGTAATCCTGCTAGAACAGCAGTTCTCAGCCTGTGGATCGAGAACCCTTTTTCCATTTGTAACAACTCGGCAATTAGGAAGGTTGAGAACCACTGTGCTAGAAGCATCTGTCCTGTCAGATCTGACCCCTGAAGTACAAAGCCAGCGGTATCTTGAGCTTGTAACTGGTTGGCTAAACGATGTCCTTCCCTGGGCTTCCTCACCACCCGCCTGTTCTGAGCTTAGTGCTCCAGATGGGAGAGAAGAGATGAACGAGGTCACTGCCAGTCTTTATGAGTATCCTTGATTTTGTAATGTGGACTTTTCAACTGGGGAGAAGTATACAGTGTCTAAGATGAAAGAGCAAAGCTTTCTTTCTTTGATTTTGGCTGTTAAAGATTATTTTTGCAGTGTCATGAATCAGGAATGTGAAACAGAGACAGAATCTTGTTTTGGGTTTGGCGCCTGTCACTCAAGTGGCTAAGGCACCAGCCACGTACACCTAAGGTGGTGGGTTTGAATCCAGCCTTGGCCCGCCAAACAACAATGATGGCTGCAACCAAAAAAAATAGCCAGGCGTTGTGGCAGGCACCTGTGGTCCCAGCTACTTGGGAGGCAGAGGCAGGAGACTCGCTTGAGCCCAGGAGTTGGAGGTTGCTGTGAGCTGTGATGTCACGGCACTCTACCCAGGGAGACAGCTTGAGGCTCTGTCTCAAAAAAAAAAAAAAAAAAAAAGGAATCTTGTTTTGATGAGCCTTTTAGCATTGGAACGACCAAATTCTTTAGCCTTCAGTATCACGAGCTGAAGCAGTGTCCCTGGGCATCATGGGCAGGCCTTGGATTGAGCATTGGTGAGCTCATGGCTTAACTTGGGAGAAGAGAATGACAGAAACAGGAGGAAAGGAGGAGAGGTGCAAGTGAGGTAGCTAGAGGAGAAGGTGCAAATCTACACTCCCTTCTCTACTCCCTTGTCATCACATTTCACTTCATTCTTAAGCCTTTTCTATGAAGCAGCTGGCCTGCCACATCTCAGTTTGCAGTCAAGGAACTAAACCACAGGAGAAGCAACATTCTCAGAGAGACACAGCTAATATGTGGCAGGGTTTAGATCTTCTGACTCCAAGTCAAAAACTTTTCCCATGGCTCAGCACCTGTGCTCAGTGGTTATAGTGCCAGCCACATACACTGAGGCTGGTGGGTTCGAACCCAGCCTGGGCCAACTAAACAACAATGACAACTACAACAAAAGATAGCCAGGTGTTATGGCAGACGCCTGTAGTCCCAGCTACTTGGGAGGCTGAGGCAAGAAAATCACTTAAACCCAAGAGTTGGAGGTTGCTGTGAGCAGTGACACCACGGCACTCTACTGAGGGCAACATAGACTCTGTCTCAAAAAAAAAAGAAACTTACCATTTGCCTGTTCTAGTTTTGAGAGAGTGGTAAGTGGTATACCTGACCTCTGAATGTCAGTCAGTTTTCTTGTGTGCCATCAATCACCTAGCTACAGCTCCCCCACCTCCCAAGAGTAGCTTATTAAAATTGCTGACTCAAGAGCCTTTTATCCTTGTCAGTGATAAAAGCCACTCAGGACTTCTACCTGCAGGACCCAGAACTAAGCTGACTGCTTCAGATAAAGAAAAACTATTTAATTCATAGAGGGGGAGGGGAAGTGATGGGTGGATGATAATTTCTGGAAACTGTAGGTCTGGCAATGCTCAGCTAGGCAGAGCAGAGCCCTCACCTATTTACTCCTGAGCCCATTTCAGGTCTTTGCTCAGGTCAGGAACTTGTCTGATATGTCTCTAAAATATCCTTGTCTTAGTTTGAGTAAGATTTCTAAGTAGGGTCCCAGGTAGGATGATGCTTACCCAGAGTCCTTGAGTAAGATTTCTAAGTAGGGTCCCAGGTTTGATGATGCTTACCCAGAGTCCTTGAGTAACATACCCATGATGGAACAAGGTGTTAAACTTCATTATGAGGTTTCATTTTTTTAGGAAATATTATAGAAGGAAGTTTGCTTTTCTGGTTTTAACCCTTCTCACTGTTGTCTGGGCTGTTTGTCTTATTATGTTCCTCTGTGGGCTGCTGAAATCAAAAGATCTAAGGTTCAGCGTGGCTGAGGTTCCAACTCTGTGATCTCAGGCAAGGCCTCTCCTCTCCCTGGGCTATAGTTTTCTTCTCTATAAATGTAAATGAATGGGTCGGATTAGATTGGGGGACACAAACTATGACTTAATTTGGCCAGATTTGTTGGTTTTATAATTGATTTTATTTGGGTTCACAGTAAAATTGAGCAGAAAGTTCCCATATATCCCCTGCCCTCCCACACCCACCTCCCCCAGTATCAACATCCTCTGCCAGATGATAAATTTATTACAGTCCACAAACCTACCTCATTATCACCCAAAGTCCATGATTTATATTAGGGTTCACTCTTGGTGTTCATTCAATGGTTTTAAACAAATGTATGATGATACATTTGATAGCTGCATCTATCATAGATAGATAATGTCATCTATGATAGATATTAAAGCTGTCATTACAATATCATATGGAAGAGTTTCACTGCCCTAAAAAACCATCTGTTTTTGTAAATAAAGTTTCATTGGGACACAGCTGAACCCCCTTCATCATGTAATATCTAGGGCTGCTTTTGTATTGTGACAAGTTGAGTAGTTACCATAGAAACTACATGGCCCACAAAACCTAAAATATCTGGCCCTTTATAGAAAACATTTACCAGCCCCTGGGCTAGGTGATTTTCAGGAAGCTTTTAGAATCTGTGATTTTATTTTATTTTTTCAGACAGAGTCTCACTCTGTCACACTGTGGTAGAGTGCTGTGGCATCACAGCTCACAGCAACCTCAAACTCCCGGACTCAAAAGATCCTTTTGCCTCAGCCTCCCAAGGAGCTAGAACTACAAGCGCTTACCACAACACCCAGCTGGTTTTTCTATTTTTAGTAGAGATGGGGTCTCACTCTTGTTCAGGCTGGTCTTGAACTCCTGAGCTCAAGCAATCCACCCTCCGTGGCCTTCCAGAGTGCTGGGATTACAAGGCATGAGCCACCATGCCCCAGCCTAGAATCTGTGGTTTTCTTTAAGGCACTTGTACAGTGTTGTATCTGGATGCTTAGCTTTTGTGTTCTTCCTCCTTATCCTACTTCTCCTTTTCCCTCTCTTGGGGCCCCTGCTTTATGCTGACAAAGCTGCCACTGTCCCAGAGCAGAGGACTGTGACCCTGGATGTTGATGTGAACAACCGTACAGACCGGCTGGAGTGGTGCAGCTGTTATTACCATGGCAACTTCTCCCTGAATGCAGCCTTCGAGATCAAGCTGCACTGGATGGCAGTGACCGCTGCGGTACTCTTTGAGATGGTGAGAAGCTTTGTGTGTGTAGTCAGACCTCTGGCTCACCTCACAGAGGGGAACGAGGAATGCTTAGTAGAGATTCCTGTCACTTTTGTATTTTAATTCAGCTCCTATTGCTATTCACCTGAACTGTTGGAATAACCTTTTATATAAATTTAAACAGGCTGGGCACAGTGGCTCACACCTGTAATTCTAGCACTTTGGGAGGATGAGGTGGAAAGATCACTAGAGCTCAGGAGTTCAAGACCAACCTGAGCAACACAGTGAGACCCCATCTCTACAAAAAAATTTTTTTTAAATTAAGTGGGTATGGTGGTACACAACTGTAGTCCTACCTACTTGGGAGGCTGAAGGAGGAGGATCACTAGAACCTAGGAGTTGGAGGTTATGGTAAGCTATGATTGTGCCACTGCATTTCAGCCTGGGCAACAAAGTAAGACATTGTCTCAAAAAAAAAAAAAGGGTGCTCAAAGGGATTGAGCACTGGCCCCATATGCTGGAGGTGGCGGGTTCAAACCCAGCCCCGGCCAAAAAACTTAAAAAAAAAAAAAATTAACATAGTACAAAATTCAAATAGTAAAAAAGGGTAAGATCAAGGTTTCGATCTTTGATCTTTTGATCAAGGGTAAGATCAAAGTTTCTCAGCATTGGCAGTACTGACATTTGGGGACAGAAAATTCTCTTTCTTAGGGGGGCTATCCTTCTTGCACATTTTAGGATACCGTGCAGCATCCCTGACCTCTGCTCATTAAATCCCAGTCACACAACCCCTTAGTGGTATACCCAAAAATGTCTCCAGGTATTGCTCCTCCAAGAGAGGAAGTATTGTTTCCTGTTGAGAATCACTGGTCTAGAGTGAAAAGTAAGTCTCTCTCCCACCCTCGATCCCTTTCATCTAAAAGCAGCTACTGGCTTGGCGCTTGTGGCTCAAGTGGCTAAGGGTCCAGACACATACACCTAAGGTGGTGGGTTCGAATCCAGCCCAGACCCGCCAAAACAACAATGACAGCTGCAAGCAAAAAAATAGCCAGGCGTTGTGGCAGGCGCCTGTGGTCCCAGCTACTTGGGAGGCTGAGGCAGGAGACTCGCTTGAGCCCAGGAGTTGGAGGTTG